TGATGTAATTTCTATAAGGGGGAAATATAAAAGGGGAAGAGCTGGTGTTGTAGTCTGAAAACTTGAATTACATTTCTTTCATTACAACTTTAAATGGGATATTTCCTGTAATGCAGTGAAAAGAAGTGTTAAGACTATATTCCTATGCCATGCCTCTGGCTTTTAGTTTGACATTTTCTTCAAAATATTAATTCTTTTTTAAGATTACAATAATTTGGTACCTCTAACCTTAAAAAGAGATTCCTTAGTTCATGCCAGACTGAAATTGCTTCAATTTTGCAAAATCATGAGTGTTACTGTGCTGTTTAAATGCTGCCAAGAACAGCTTTAGCATGTACTTGGAAGAGGCCCTTCAATTCAGCACTCTCAGTTAAGAGTTAATTGACGCTGTATTCTGATGAGTATTTTTTTTTGGCAGCAGCACCAGCTTTATGCAGCTCTCCCTCTGTCCATTTGCACCTCCATGCTGGTCCAAATGGGAACTGATCCAGGCTAAAGATGATTGGCAAAGACAGAGGTAGCCTGGATGGGTTGCCCCATCCTTCCCTCTCCACAGCCACGAGAGCAGCAGAAGTGCTGGCAGAGCTAGGTAAGATGTAACTCTAAAGCTCCTACCCTTAAGCTGAAGCTGTTTATTTACTCTACAGATTGGGTATTGTTGAGACAACAACTTACCTTGATCAGGGAAATCCCAAATGTTCCGGGTTTTATCTGTCCTGCAATCTGCTCACAGATTCGTCCAATGAATTGATGTGGCAGAACAAACACTAAAATATCTGCCCCTTTTGCTGCTTCAGCCACGTCTGGTACAGCCACCTGGGACAAGAGGGACAACTAAAATGAGCCTCAGGTAGGATACCAACGTGCCAAAGCCATGGCAGATGCAGTGCAAATGTCCTTAATTTTAACCACATGACCCTGTGGCATAGCTGCCAGCTCTCCATGCAAGTAGCGACAGATCTCTTCTGAAATATCCAGAGCAGCCGAACTATCTTAGGTTTGGATTTTTTATAATTTTTTTTTATATAATTTATCCCATCCCTGTGTGGATAATCTGGGGAAGATGATGTAATTTCTAAACTTGTGGTGTCCTGGGAAGCCCCATTGCTAGTTCAGCTCCTGGAGGTGATTCCTGAATATACTGAAGAACTCCATATGGTTCTGGAATAAGTGGTAGCAGAGGGGAGCAAACTGGAGTGGTGAGACAGAGCCTCTTCTCACAGTCTTTAGTTTCCATACATCAACGGCTGTTCAATAATAAACTATACAATCATAATATATATTATTAAAACTAATATAAATAATAAACTATATCAAAAGGCAGAGATTTGGGGGGTTATGTGACTTTGTTTTAAATATATGGTAATTTTACCAAGTTACAATGTGCTTACTGACTCGCTGGCTGTATGTTTCTCCAAATACTGGTATTACTCAGAACAATTCAAGCCAGGCCACAGAGGCAAGGGCAGGTGAATTTGAGCCTGTTAGAACAAGCAGTTTACAGTTGGACAAAACATCACACTTGGGTGCAGCCTTGGAGCACACAGCTTTAAGCAAGCATGATTCCCAGCGGGAGAATCAGAACTGATGCCAGCCAGGCTTCTTCTCTGGGAAAACAGCAAAGTGAAAGTGGAGCAGAGGCTGGCAGTGCTATGCAGGAAGGGCTCCTGTCTCTCCAAAATGCTGCAAAGCAATGTAAGGAGAAAGTGAGCTTGTTTGTTTGGGTATTTTTTTTCTCAATCAGAAATGGTGTGAGGGTCCCTCCAGGCTCTGCTGCAACTAGCTCATTTCTGCTGGTGAAGCCTCAGACTTTGCTCTAAACAGGGTGAGGCTGACCTCAAGTGATGATGACAAGCCTGTTGATCTGCTAGAAGGTTGTGAAAACAATAGTGACAACTGTTGTAAAAACACAGTAACCCAGGAGAACTGTGTGCCAAGTTCAAGCACCGGGAGTGGAAATATGCAATTGCAGCACTAAATGGAGCACTAAATATAACCACTCCCAAGCAAGGAGACCCATCACGTGCAGGGTTTTAACTTCCCTTTACAACTGCAACTGCTCCAGAAATGTGGCGCTACTTTCTTTAACTCACAAAGCAGTAGCATTTGGCAAAATCTTGAACAGCCAAAACCCCTCACCTCGCTTGCTTCAGCAGCAGTAAATTATGTAAGCTGAATAAGTTAAGTAGAGATGCATAACTTGGTATATTAAATGTCCATGAAAATTAAATACCTTATATTTTTGTTGGAATTTAGTGTTATTAATTATAGCTATCCTGAAACCACCCATGAGCCGATAGCTCGTTACTCATCTCCTTGTAAGCCACAGCCCTCAGCTGTGCTGTTGATTTCCTTTTCAGAAGAAAGGAGATCAGTAGCTTTCCCTGTTCTCCAGAAGATGTCGTGGGTTTGAAGTATCTCAGCTCTGTGTAGACAGATCTCTGCTTGCCATTTCTAGAGTTGTGCTGATGTCTGCCAGAGAGGAGGATGGTGCGTCACCAGCACAGACACGGGTGTTTGAAGTCGCGCGTGACGTACGAGACAAGGAGAAATCACAGAAGTGAATTATATTCCAGGAAGATATCCTGGAATGAGTTAGGTGACAAACCGGAATGAAGCAGTGGATTGCTTCCTACTTTTAATTTTTTCAGATGATGCCTCCTTTATTTAAAAAAAAATATAAATAAATAAAAAATTCACTGATTTCTATTTTTTTTTTCAACTTACCACATTGTGGGGTATCTTGTATCCGGGCAGATATTTAACATTTTCATGTTCCTGGTTGATTATTTCTGTGAGTTTTCTTCCGTTGATGATCTCTTCAAACACCCACATCTTGACAGTAGGATCAAATCTGTTGGACTTCTGGACATTTTTGCCAATGATTCTGGCTATAGCTGATCCCCTTCAAAAAAAAAAATAATTAAAAGGTGAAAAATAGTTTTATTGTGAATTGGAAGTGCAAGTTGCTTTAAACATCATAACTCATAAAAGGCCTGTGCTATACAGCTGTTCAGGTGCTTGTGACATTTTTCAGAAAGCTTTATCTACTCCCCTTCATCAAAAGGCCCTCAAGTTTAAAAACACAGAAAGTAGAGCCAGGGAAAACGTAACTGTAATAAGGGATCTGAAGTCATATCAAAGGCTATAGAGCAGAAGTGTGATGTACTAACAACAGTACTAAAAATACAGTGTCTGGGATTAAAATGTCTCCCTCTCCTCAAATAATTCCTTTTTTCCTGAAGACCAACAAATGTAAAATAATCCAGGTGGTAAAGCAATGCTGAGTGATCTCACTGTGACAGCCTTTGTGCATTTCATCTAAAATAGATGCATCCCACTTTCCTATCCATATCCAAGGAGTTGCAATAAGGATTTTACGTAAGCGCTAAATCCTCAGAAAAAAAAACAAACAATCCTTCAACCTGATGGTTTCTCTTTATTTATTGTTCTAATTATCACTGTAACAGGATCTGTAATACTTGCAGCCTGAGGATATTTTAACCATCCAGTTTACTTGAGTCATGCTGAGCATTTTTTAATCTCAGGTCAGACAATAATTTTATTTCCCCATCACCACTGCAGCCTTGCAAACACTCACTTATTTTCTTGGCAAGAGAGAATTAAAGACCCTGCAGAAAATATTGGAACTATTGCTTAATGCTCTTTCAATTATATGTGGAAGAGGGGTGATTATTTTTACTCCTCTATTCCTTCTCTCCATTTAAAGCTACTTCAATCTTTCAAATATTGCTTATTTTACTAACACAACTGAAAGAGAAGCTCCAGTTGCAACACTTGTCCTCTGTCCCACTTGTAACACACCTGCAAGGAGAAACATGAGCAGGATTTAGCTGTGGTGTGTTTTCTGGAACTCATAAAATTCTTGAGACTATCCAGGACAAAGTACAGGTAGGTCTGTGCTGTCAATGATTCAAAGGGCAACTTCATTGTAACTGTCTCTCCTTGACTCACCCATATTTTTGGTAGAACAGGTTTACACAAGGTTGAATTGCTCAATAAGTAGTAAAAGCCCAAAGGCTTAATCTTAATCTTTAATGATAAAGAAATCCTACTGAGATCAGTGTTAACTATATGCTATATCCGGAGCTGTCATAATACTTTAGTTAGTTAATTAGTTAGTTAGGGCAGTTTTTTGGTTGGTTTGGGGTTTTTCTTTTTGTTTTCAGGTTTTGTTTTGTTTTGTTTTGTAAGGGTTGATTGGTTTTGATCCTTTACAATGTTTAGGGAAATGTTTTAGGGGTGAACCTTTACTGTAAGAATTCTGCTGTTTTGAAAGTAAGTCATGCAGTTGTATCATACATTCATATTATTTATAGACATACATTCATATTATTTATAAAATTACTTATATTCTGGTTCTCTTGCCTTGCTATCGACAGAAAGCACAATCAAAGCTTGAGCTGAGGATGAATTGTGGCTGTGCACAAGACATATGTATTAATAAGAAAAGACTTTGGTTTTTTATAAACTTGAGATCTAAATTCATTGTCCATGTTGTCCAGCACAACCTGGATGATGAAATTGGACCTCAAGCTTATCCATAAAAATAACTTTCCTAGCTATGTACCAAGAACATATGATTTTCTGTTTAAAGATATAGACTCCAGCCCTAATTTCTGAAATCTTGAATGGGACACACGACTCTTAGTAGATAAATCTGATCTTCTAGCAGAGCTGTCATTACCACTGATCAGCCTTGGGAAAAAGAACTGCTTTGTCTGTCAGGGCTGTGTTCTGTACACCACACAGGCTTGGCAAAAGAGGGCTGCTTATGCAAACAAAACCAGGGACACTCATGTATAAAGACTTTGCCATTGTTTGTTTTATTTTCTCCAAAACTCTATTCAGTGAAGATTAATAGAAGGCAGAGAACTCCACTTGGATAATTTTAAAAAGTAAGCGAAAACTGCCAATCAGATTTTTCCCCCCAGTTAAGTTAATTCATGTTGAAAGTGATTTACACATTGCTAAGAGAAAGAAAGCTTTTATCTGGAGTTTTCCTATCAGTATAATGAGAAAGCTTTGATATAGAATAACTCAAATAAGACCCATTATTTATGTCTGTGAACATGGAAGTATTTGTAGCATATATCAGATCTAGTGAAAAGTAGAGCTTAACAGAGCCCAGGAAGCATCTGGTCCCTTCCCTCTGCACAGGGCAGGCAAATATACTTAAGCCATTCCTAATAGTTTTTCCAAATAGGTCTTAAAGACCCCAGCAACTGCAGGTCTCTTCTCTTCCCCAACTGGCCCATCCCAGGACTTTGCTATCCTACACATTAGAAAGATCCTACTCAAATTGCAGTAAGTCTTTCTTACTGCAATTTAAGCCTATTTCTGTTCTAGAAGGGTGTCATATTGTTTTCCTTTAGATGCTGGAAGATTATGTCGTCTTACAGTCTCTTCCTTAGAAAACCACACAGAATTTTTTGAATTATAGTATTGCTCAGATTTGAAGGGATCACGAGAGGTCTCCGGCATGGGAACATCACTGAGTTCAGATGGGTTGCTCAGGGCTTTGTTCAGTCAAGTCTTGAAAACTCTCCAAGGACCACCTCCACTCTGGGCAACCTGCCCCAGTGCTTTACTGTTCTCATAGTTGTTTATTTTCTCCTCTCTTTAGATGTTGAGTCAGAACCTTCTCTGGTTCAATTTATGACCACTGGCTCCCGTTTTCCTTCCATGCACCTCCATAAAAAGCCTGGCTATCTGTCCATGTTGAAGACAAGAATCCAATTCAAGCCTGGATCCTTGTTGAGGACTCTGCAGCCCCAATGAATCTAATCCTGGGACAGCTTTTGGATTCTGAAGGGCCAGGCAATGAACTAAACCTCTGTTTTAAAAAGCAGATAACTGAGCCATGATTAACATAACCACAAACCCTCCTGCACTTGACTGGCAACCATAAAATGCAGAGCAGCACTTGCTTCACTCAACCATATCACTCATGAGCCTCCTGGCAGTGTTGACTTAGCAAGTCCCCATGACCTGCTGAACTTCTGCAGCTGACATGAGCTTTTGCAGCATGCTGTGTCACGTGTCAACCACAATTCTGAGCTGCAGGAAAGCCTCAAGAGCACAGATATGAACTGCCACCGAAATATTCAGGAGGAACATAAGGAAAAAAATGTTTGCCAAAGGTAAACATTGTATTTCTACGTTGTGCTAAAACAACCTGTTCTGCCACTGAGGCTATGAATAGATGTGATTCAAACATCAGACCACAATGTTTATCTCCTCCCCGAGGAATTAACAGTCTATGCACATAGTGGGAAGCAAGAGATGGGCCCAGGCAAACATGCAGTATGAGTAAGTAGATAATACTGAATGAGCTGCGGTCTCGGTATCTCTGTGGTAGCTCTTTCCAAGTTTGTAGGTACATGTGGAAAACCAGAGAATTTTCTCAAGTACATATCTGAAGGAATACAATTAAGTGACTTTAAAGAATGTCTTATGGGAAGGGGACAGCCTGGGAGAGGCAGGATGTCCCTGCTTGGTGGTGCAGCAAGAGAATGATGAAGGTGACTGTCGGCTGACCGAAGGCTAAGTTTGACTCCCAAACATGCAGTCATGGCTGTTGAGAGGTTTAGAAGGGGCAATAAGCTGCCTGCAGGTGAGGGAAAAGACAGTGGCAGGGAGAGGGATGCCTCTCCTGAAATGATGTGGAAACAAATTACAGGGCCAGAGAAAGCCAGATGTGTGACGATGAGTTCCAGAAGACTTAGCTGTGCAATTCCATGTGAAAGGCTGTGTCTGAGAGTTGTCGTGCCCAAAGAGCCTGTGATCCAGCAAGAGCATGCACTGCTTTTGCAGAAAGCAGTGCATTGCTTTTGCAGAAAGCAGTGCATTGCTTTTGCAAGGCAGGAAGGCGAAGAGCTGTGTTTTAACTCTGCTGTGTTCTCAGCAGCTCACAAGCAACCACTCCCTCACCTATTGATTTTTTTGACATTTGCTTCCACTTAACTGTCAGATATTTTTAAAATCATAAGGAGCTTTCTCTCCTTGTACAAAAACAATCTCCAGAACTACCTCGAGGCTGGGTTCGCTAATCCCAAATGCATGCACATACATGTTGATCTGTTTGTTTGTGCTCAGCTTACAGAAAATATAAGAAAAGTAAATGCAAAGTCCTGTGAGATGGGCTTGCTGACTTCAGTGGGGTCTTTCAGACCCAAGGAGCTCTGGAGAGCTGTGCTTTTGTTCAGGCTAGAAAGGACTGAGCAGTAGCAAACATGTTCATAAAAATGGGAATAAGAATAAATGGGAGACCTGAACACAAGACTGTGTCTGGACCAAGATGCAAAAGGACATGCTGAGTAGAATGGAAGTGAAAGGTGCCCATACATCGTGGCTTTAAACGAGTCCTGTGCCCCGGTTCCTTCAGAGGAACACAAACAGCATCATCGCTCTCCTCACTGCCGAATGCTACAACCTGAACTGCCTGGGCCCTGCCTCAGGCACACACAGCGACAGAGCTGCGGCTCCGGGCCTCTCTGGAATCTGTCGCCAGGATTTAAGAGGCTCGCATACCTGGGTGATGCAGGAGCATCAGTCTTCCCAGCTCTCACGAGCTAGTGCATCTTGGGGGGACGA